TTTATTTCAAATTCATCTGGAATTCCAGATGAAATTCATTATGAAATTCATATTTGTTTCACAATCTGAAGTTCATCCGGAAATTCATCCGGAACCAAAATTTTTTTTGTACGGGTTCTAAAATAATGCACAAATTATTATGTAGAGCTCTAAAATGTCAGAGAAAAATATATTTATGTAAAAAATATAATCGAAATTTTCTTTATGTAACTTATTAGCATTAAATGTTTCTATAAAAATTATAATTACCTGGCATACCTGCGAATTGACCGTTTAAAAAAGCCTCGACAACCATCACAGCTTGACACACCATAATGTTTTCCCGACGCTTTGTCTCCACAAACTTTGCAAAGTGCCGAGTCCCTGTTATGCTCTTCCATCACTCCTCAATCTGTGAATATATAGGTTGATATCGATTTTGTATATATTAAATAAAAATTAAATTCAAGTTTAAGAATACCAAAAATAAAAAAAAAAATACATTGTTTCTTTTTTTACATAAAATGAAAGGAAAAAAAAAAAGTAGAGGAAGTAAAAGCAAGAGTTTCATAAAAGTTCGCTGTACTGTAGTTTTTGTTTTTAATTTTCATTAATTCCCGTAATTCAGTGAGTTCAATGATGTGATCCTTAAGGATTTAAATGAAGAGAAAAAGCATTTCCAATTACACTTTAATAAAAGTATTTTATTATTGATAAATCATTATGAATTTACGGAATATAAAACAAGTTTAATTAAAAAACAAAATTTTTTCGGCATTTGAAGACTAAAAAAAATTAATTCTAGGAAACTCATTGTTAACCCTGTCTTCCTTCTATATACGATCCAGGTAGTGAAAAAAATAAAAAACAATTTTATCACTTTTTAATTCAAAGTTTTCATAGTTTTTTTTCTTTTTCACATGCTATAGAATCCGTCTGCTCAATAGAATAAATTTATAATGTTACAATTGTATTCGTAGTTCTATAGACTAGTATACATAGTTACCATACAATCAAATTATACCATACCATAAGCTACTACTTGATTATTAACAAAGATAATCGCTTGTTCATATGCTTTGCTACACAATTGTTCAGTGAATATAAACATCGATTGGTCTATACGAATGTTGATCGATTCGCTTACAATTATTGTTATTAGATTCTAGTTTATTCCGATTGTCAGTGATGTGTCAAATTATTCTACGCTTTATTAAATATCATTAAATGTATAACCATCATTCTTTCTTGTCTATAGATAGACTTACAATGCAAAAAAGTGTAACAAATAAATAACCGTTCATATATTTATGGAAAAAAAAAAAAAATCATCGAAAGCCAACTAACAATAACGCTCGTGTAAAAAAAATTAATCTCATTACAAATTTCATTCTAGAATTAATATTTTAAAATAAATGTGGCTTTGTAATAAATTTACTAAAAATCCATTTTAACCTGAGTTGAAAAAAAAAAAAAAAAAAAAAGAACAATTGATTTAAGCTCATATAAATTCATTTTTTCAACTCGGGAATTTTCTTACAATAATGTATGAAAGTTAATGTTCTTTGCAGAAATAATATCATAAGGATGAGCTTTCTGTAGAAAAAAAAAAAAAAACATTTTCTACTATACTGAAAAAAAAAAATTAACTTGAATCAAGAGAAAAATTCTTAATCCAAGTAAAATTTACTTAAGTCAAGAAAAATTTCTTAGTTTAAAAATTTTTATATTCAAATAAAAAAAATGAAGTTCTTCAAATTTATTGACTTGATTCAAGTAAATTTTTTTTTTCCTGTGTAGGTTATTTTTACGTTTATTTTACTAATACTTCAATATTAATTTTACACTATTTTGGTAATAATCTCCATCAAACATTATGGATTGATTCCATTCATTGCCTAAATTTCCATCGTAAAATAAAACATAAATTATCTTTCCTTTCGACCAGAGAAAAAAAAATTACTGACATTTGACTCGCTGCTTTTTTTTTATCAATTTTTGTTCAAAATCATAACAAACATTTTCGTGATAAGATTTCCATCGTGATTCATATAAAAAATTGCTATTACGTTTTCGGCGAAAATGAACATAAAATCCATAAGTCTGGATAAAATTTTTTTTACGTTGGCCTATATGTCTTCATGTGTGTTAAACGCATATATTTTTTCCGAGGGGGAATTGCTATCGCATCATTTAAAATTAAAATTTTAATACGTACAGTAGATAAAGCTTGAAGTACAAATACTGTACAATCCATGCAACATTGTGAATTTTTACACGATTATCATGACCACAACGGCGCATGAAAACACGTTAAGTACATGATATATAACACTTGAAGGCTGATATATAGCCGCCCTTGAATCCTCTTTCCTCCAACCCGAAGTGACTTTTCTTTTACTTACACTCCCTAACTCACTCTTTCAACTTGATATCACTCTACTATTAAACTATTTGGACGACCCTCGCACGTGCACTCGCCCTCAAGGCGTTCCTGATATCCGTTCGCCCTCGCACGCGCTAATAAAAGCTCCCAGAAGGTCTTTTCCACCTGTAGTTTTCTCAAGCTCAATAATGCAAACACCGAACCAGTCTAAGGGGTAACTGCGGTGAAAGAGTACGTCGACTATCAACCACATAACACACCAACTGAAGTATTTATGTCTTTCAACTCGTAAAGCTGAAAGCAAAAAGGGTATAAACCCCCACTCGCAACAACTATCATCACTGCTGGTCATGAATGGCTCTTTTTTTCTTGCTATTTGCTACACCCCTTCTTGTATTCGTGTTCAGAAAACCCTTTCTTGTTTCGATTTTATGTGATTGGAGGACAGACCAATTAAAATTAAACTTTTAGCTACGTCTGCACATATACATGTTACCTTGCAAAGTAGCCTTGAAATTTTCAGCGTCTTTGTCTTTAAACTCAAGAAGCTTTAGTCTATTATTTTACGGTGTTGAGCTTTAAATACCAAATGAAGCGTTTAATGCATGAGTTTTCTAAGCTCAAAAATAAATTTTTAATACTAAAATAAATTGTGATTGTTACTAAATGATATCTCATGGCACGAACATATTATCTGATTAGATTGTTTGTTTGTTGCAGGAAAAAGAGTTTATAATTTATTAGAAATAACTTAATTCTGGGAATAGTTACCGTATCATGTTAAAAAGAAGACATGTTGACAATTTTTGAGAATATTATTTTTATAATGAGAAAACTAACCAATTTAAAAATAAATTAAAAGAATAATTCGTAAATTTAAACATTTGCATACTCTTACCCCGAGGCTATTTTCAGATGACATCACAGTGACAGCTCCGGAAAGTTATTATGGAGCGTCTTTAAATTGTCTTAAATTAGTCTTAAAAAAATCTTAAAAAAAAATTTAGACTATTTTAAGATGGGCTAACAGTGACAGAGCCCCGGAACATTAAAACGGAATGTCTTAAAAAAGTCTTAAAATTGTCAGATAATAATTTTTTAACAATTTTAAATTAAATTTAAAAACATTTTACTCAAAAATATTGCGGTTAGAAAGTCGTAAAATCATCTAAAAATTAATTTTCACAACAAATTCGAGAACAAAATTTTCAAAAATCTGCTCTCGGAATTTTTCTTTTGGCGTCTTAAAAGAGTCTTAAAATAGTCTTAGTTTGTGTCACGTTTAAGATCTTAAACGAACGACAATTTTAAGACAATTTTAAGACGATTATTTTTTACACGGGTAATCTTAATAAAAGAATTTAGAAAAAAAGAAAATCAATTAGTTAGTTTTTATTTTTAAATTGATATAATTTTAAGAACAAACTCAACAAATTTTATAAATAATTCAATTGCCAATTACTTGATCAAAGATTTTATGAAACGAACTTGAACAATCGAAAACACAAAATCCTCTGACTAACGCGAAATATTCTGCTGCCATATAAATAATAATTAAACTACCAACATAAGTTTAAATAAATAACAAAACATAAAATAATTAACAATTTCTTTCACAATAAATCTATTATTTAAATTTTTTTTTTGTTTATTTTTATATCTTTTGACATTAAGTCAATTTTGATTAATTGAAATTTAACAATCAACGACATTCACGAATTATAAAAAAATAAAAACAAAAATCAGCCAGTACTAAATTCAGCTAATCTATTTAAATTTGCTTCAGAAATTTAACATATTAAATCAACTATCGCCACCTAACTCATGAAAGGCTAAAATTCAGATAAAGATCTTACCGATGATTCTCGTTCCAAATTTTTTTTTAAATTATTGAGATTTTTTTTCTATTGAAAACAAAAATATAAAAAAATAATTTTTAGAAGATAGTCTAAATTTTTCCAACTTTTCTCCATACTTGTCAAAATTTTTCTTGAAAACGTTTTTAAGACGATATCTCTAGAATCCATCTCTAGAATCATGAATAATGGTCCTAAGTATGATAGTACGATATCTTTAGAACGAATTAACCAATTGAGATGAGCGACTCAGATTGGTTCGGCCGTTTGACATTGATACGCTTGTATCAACGAAAAACCATTTAATTTTTATTTATATAGATAGAAATAAATAAATAAGAAATGATTTAATTTATACAAAAAATATTTACATACCAAATACACTGATAAAAAAAATAACTCGATTTAAGAATTTTTCTCTTGAATCAAGTGTATTTTTCATTCAGTGCAGTTCTATCCATTCATTCAGAAATCAACACAACATTATATATATTATAATTTATAATAAATAAAATTCTCTTTTAAATAAAAATTATCATCATAAATATGTAACTAAAGTATGCAAAGAATTAATTTTTATTAATAAATAATATTCAACATAAAAATCTTGAAAGATTTAAACAGGTGTTAAATAATTATAAGGTAAGAGTAAATCCAGCAGGTGGGCATAAAAAGTCAACTAAGATACCGTCAACCCCTAAGTATGTATATGAAAAAACCCCCTGTATTTAAGGTTAAAGTAACCCCGACTACAATTATGTCGGCCGAATAATTTAACCCCGTTCGCGATGTCAATAAATACATACAACAAGTACGTGTGTATACTATAATTGTACATACGACGGGGCTGATACTCTGTGACATATGTTACGTTCGAGAAATCGAAACCCAGGGGTGTTGGATCGAGTGGAAAAGTCGAGGGTGAAACATGACGGCACGATAAAACAAATTATCCAACATAACAGTCAAACGTATTTTTTTCTCATTAAATCATACTTTAGTTATCGCTGTCTGTTATTTATTTATATCTATTTACTCTACAAATTATTTTAACTTATTTATTTCATTTTCATTTCATATCATGTAATGGTATTTAATTGCTTTTTAAATACTTGACTTCCATTTCTCTCTCTAATCTCACTGTTAATTAAATGCATGT